CAAAGGCAATTGCTGCTCCTGAAACCAGGCATTCGTATTTGCACGAGAAAGCTGTGACTGACTGTGAGATGATGCGAGCCTAGGATCTCACTTTAAAAAAAAAAAGGTGTGGATATAGGTTTGTTTCCTGCTCTGCTCTGCCTCAGTTCAGCAGCTATCTGTTCTCTTTTGGAGAGCTGGTTAGCACTTACTTTGGTTGGGCCAAAGGAAATACAATCAAGTGTGTGTGAAAGAGCAAGCACTGGGTCACAGCTCCGAGAGCAGCAGTAAGAAGCATTCCTTCTCTGCAAAGCAAGGGGCTTATGGGCAAAATACAGCCATTCCCAGACAGCTCAATGAAACACGCACAACCTGAACAAAAAGTAAGTATTCCATTCAACTCGTGAATGCTTGTGAAATTCATTTTTTTGCCAGCTTTTACAGTCCACAGCCTTCTCATTCAATCTTGAATAATAGCTTTGAATTGAGCTGTAAAAGCTTCCGAAGTTTGAAGCCTTTTGACAAGTTAATTTAGCTGTATGGTAAAAAGTTTTTCCCGCAGATAGAATAAAGACATTGTATCGTGAATGTAGTAGTCATCCAAGGGAAAGAAAACACCATTAGGATAAGAAATGATGGGCTTTATGGAGATAGTTTGTGGTTTAGTGTAATCTACTATCAATATTTCAGTAGAGAAGTATTCTACTTGTCATTCAGCTGCAAGTCAATATCTTCACTTAAAACCAACACCCAGGGGCCAGGCTGCATATATATTTTTATTGAAAAAGTAACTTGTTGCTTTTGGTGGGTTTTCTTTCTCTTTTTCTTTTTTTGTTCCTCACAGTTATTTCTACTTTAATTGTTTGGGTTTTTTTTTTTAATCCTGTATAATGCAGGATGCTTTTTTCTTCTTCTTTTTTCTTTGTTTTCTTCTGGTTGAAAGAGACAGAAAAATGAATCAATGTTTTCTCTAAGGCTCCCACTGTAGAGAAACACACACATGCACACACACACACACACACACACGTGTCTTTTTTTTCCTCTCAGCAGCTGCCAAGGATGAAAATTCAAGGAATTCAATAACATATATAGAAAGAATCAGGAAAAAAAAAGTCACCGATAAGCTAAATGATCCAACAATTATCCTAGCCTCAATTTCACAAAGATCTCATCTTAAGTACAGACTTATTTCTTGTGTATTTCTAAATTCAAGCCTCAGTATGCTACTAATATTGACAACTGACGGCAGTTGAAGAAGGAGATTTGCTCTGTCTCGTAGCTCATCAGTCTGATCAGGAGGGGTAACATCTTAAGGTAAGATCTTAGGGACAGCAGTTTGTAGTGGCTGCACCACATTCCTTCTCCATCTCCTACAACACAGCTCAGAGAACCAATGTTATTGCTAAACCAATACGGAATTTATAAAATTCAGCAAAAAACACTCGGAGCAGATTTTGGCAAGGAAACGTTTGCAAAGTGTATCAAGCTGAGGATAAAATGACTGCTATAAATATCCAACATCTCCGTTAACCTTTGTTGCAAAGCTTTTTCTGTACGTCTTCTTTACCCAGTCTTTTCTTTCCCAACAGCAGCACCATGGCTTTTCCTTGTCGCAGCTGCCTCTGCTCCCCAGGCTGCACGCTGCTGCAGCACAGCTATTTCCAGGTGTGTTTTCCCCCTGCCAAACCTGCAGCATAGGAAGCAAGCCCTGCCCGCTGTGTGGCTGCCTAATCTCCTATCACTCATTCTTCCTTTCAGCAACACAGCATTGTGTGTTCTGTGTTTGGCATTGCTGAAATAAAGAGCATAATTTGAGACAGAGTATGTATGCCTGAAGGTTTTCTGAGAAGCATGAACCTGAAGAACAAATTTTGCATTGTGACCTTTATTTTGAACTTATTTTCTTGAAATGTGGGACAGGGACTTGATTTTGTCCAAGACAACATCAGTAACTTTTTTCTTTGAGACTGGCCCTGGTGCTGCAGAATTTAAGCTTTTTAGTCCTTGAGTGATGAAGACTTGATGAAGTGCTGGGTCTGCAGACAAGCTGGAAAAATAACTTCTGCAGCCAAATACAGGCTTCTTCAGCCTCAGCAGGCACTCTTTAGTGAACGAGAACCACCTTGTTCTCCTTTATAGCTCACATTAAGCCAGACAGGACTGCTCTGCACAGAAGACAGATTTCAGAGCGTATTGAAAAAAACCACCACAAGAGAGAAGTATCTCTGCTGCCTGTGGTCCTGTGCAAAGATAGAAGGCATCCCAGCTGAATCAGAATTCACCGAGACAAGAATAGAAAAGGTATACCTGAAGGAAAACGCAGGAGGGGGGCAATGTGGATGTAACATTGTCTGTTTAATTACAGCTGTGTTTTAAATCTGGTAGTTGCTGTTTTTTCTTTTTTCTTTTCTTTTTTTTCCTGATGGCACAAAGGATGAAATGAGTACGATGTAGAGAGGACACAGATGGGAGTGGGAGATAAGGCAAAGAAGGGTGACTGGCAGGAGAAAAATATCAAGGGAGAGAGATGATGGCAACTAACTGATCAGGAGGAAGGAGAGAAAGCAATCCCCACATGGACGCTTGTGTCTGGGTTTGACTGCAGCACTGGCACTTGGAGTAGGTGTTGCTCTTCAGTGGCAAGGCTCTAGAGGAAGCTCCTGCTGGCTTTCTCCCTAACTCGATGCTCTCTTTCTGGCTGAGGAGGTGGTGGAAGGGGCAGCATTAGGATGCAAAGCTGAGAGACCCTCTTTCACTTCCTCCAGATTGCTGTGACTGGGGAAGGAAACGAGCTGCAGCATTGTGATGGATGTTACCTGCCTAAGCACATCAAAAAATGGAACCTTTTTGACAAACAAGAAGTAGAGTTCAGGTAGAGATGAGGTGGAGGTAGGCGGGAAGCTCCGTAATTGCATTTTATTTCAGTCTTTATGAATTAGCTCTGCCAATTTTCTTTTTCCCCAATTTTTTATTTTAATTCAAATGGCTTTTAAGTAAACTTTTCAGCTGCAATTACAGTAAAAACAGACCACACTATATACAGTCAGGTTTAATATATAGGAAGAACACTTTTTTTGCTCGTGTCTGAATTCTAGTTTACAGGAACAATGGCAGGGTTTAATTTTCTGTCATTATGCACAGGTTAGCCTAGACTGGATATTAATAGACACACATATTCACACCCACGACCACAAGTAAAGCATCAATCAAATTTGGAAGATAAAACTTACACTCCATGGCAACTTTAAGGGTGCAATTTTCTTTCTCTTCTTTCATCTTTTCAAAACACCTTCAGCCATGCAGAAGGCATTGGAGGTGACAGACCCAGCCTGCAGAGGCCTCTGCAGCTTGGAGCTGCAGGAGAGCATCCGGGGAACATGTGGGGGGTGCGGATGCTGCAGGGACCACTTAGGCAAAGCAATGGCTGTAAGCGTGTTGGTAAGCAAAGCACTTCACAGCAGCACAAGAAATGGAGAGCCTTAGGAGAGGGCAGGCAGCCATGCAGCTGTCCTTACATGCGTCCTGCCATGGCCACCGCTCGTTAGATCCACTGGGCAGCTTCTGGCATATGTGAATGTTACCTTGTTGTTGGCTGCACGGTCTGCACTCGTGAACCTCTAGACCTAAAGCACTTACACCCACATGTCTCTGGACACTTTAAAATAATTTAGAAGCTTATTTATACATGTAGACATACATGCACGTGAGCACACAAACTGGCCCTGAATAAAGATAGCAGAACGACCGTAGAAGGAAACCTAAAACCTCACCGACCAAAGAACAACAAACAAACAAGCCCACAAGCCAGTATATGGTAAAAATGAGACAAAAACGGGCTTCAGCTTTATGCAGAAGTGGTGCACGCCAGTGTATCCTTAGACACGTACTGAAGTGAGAATATCCCCAAACTTCAGGTCCTCTACAAGGCAGGCTGTGCTGCCTGTAGGCTCAAGCTTAGAATAATCAAAATTGTAGAATCACAGGATGGCTTGGGTTGGAAGGGATCGTGAATCTCCAACCCCCTGCCACAGGCAGGGCCACCAACCTCCACGTCTCATAGCAGCCCAGGCTGCCCAGGGCCCCATCCAACCTGCCCTCAAACACCTCCATAATGGACAGGGCATCCACAGCTCTCTGGGCAGCTGTTCTAGCACCTCACCACTCTCATAGCAAAGAACTTCCCCCTGACATCCAACCTCAATCTTCCCTCCCTCAACTGAAAACTATTTCCCCTTGTCCTGCCGTTATCAACCCTTGTACAGAGCTGACTCCCCTCTTGTCTGCTGGCTCCCTTTAGGTGCTGGAAGATGTAATGTTTGTTCCAAACTGCTGCTCACAAATTAATCTCTTAAAAATAAAGTAAGACAGGAAGGCTGAACTCAACAGGATGATTCTGCTGATGGAACCATCAGACCGATTCTGAACTCCACCAAGAAGCAGGCATGTTATTCATGGCATGGAAAGAGAAGCAACCACAGGGGTCAAATGTCAAATGAATACGATTTTCAGATGGCTTTGTAATTGTTAAGCATCTAAAAAAAAAAAAAAAAAGGAGATAAAAGAGTTGTGATTGTATGCTAGAATACAGCTGTAAATTATGAAGGAGGGACAAAGTCGTTAGCAACTCCCTTCAGGTCCCAGCCGGCCCGTGCCTCTGCCCCTTCCGCTTCTCACACGGTGATTCAGGCGCTGTTTAAAGCGGCGCAGCTCGGCTGCGGGACGGGGCAACCCAACGGACGGCGCCCAACGGCCGCAGCCCGTCCGCGCGCCGCGCCGTCACCTAGGCGACGTGCGGGGAGGCGGGGCTAAGAGCCGAGGCGGGGTCCGATTGGTTCCCTTCCCCCGCCGCGCGCCCAGCCGGGATGAGGCGGAGAGGGGGGAGAGCAGGAGGGGGGAAAGAAAAAAGAGGGAGCCGCGGCTATAAATAAACCGCGCTTCCTGATTGGCCGGCGGGAAAAATGGTCGCACCACGTGACTCTCCATCTAAAAATTCCAAGATGGCGGATCCCGTCACGGGCTGAGTCCGTTGGTGGCGCGCGCGCCGCCCGTGTCCGCCGCCGGGCCTTCGCCGCAAGGCTCTACGCTCCTCCCGCCGTCACCCAGGTCAGTACGCGGCGCCTCTCGCCGGGCCGGACCACGCCGGGGCCCCGCTGCCCGCCGCACTGGGGTCTTAAGGCTGCGCGAGTTTCTGTCCGCCGGCTTTTAATCCCGGCCCGGGCCTCGCCGTGGTTCCCTAAGGCTTCGACGGCGCGCGGCTGTTTTCCTCCGGGCTCCGGCCGTGCGGCGCGGAGGGTTCCGCAGGGGGGAGGTGACGGGCAGCTCCCCGCACCAATCGCGTTTGCCCTCGTGGTATTGGCGGGTGGATTTGAGCCGCTGTGCCACGCGATTGGACGCCGAGCCCGGTGGGGGCGTGGCTTCGGCTCGCCCTCCTTCGGGCGGCGGGCGGCGGCGCTGGCGTTTTTTTGTGAATGAGGCAAGGGGGTGGAGCATCCGGATGGCCACGCCTCCTCGCGGGCGGCCGCGGCTCCTCCCACCCCCGGCAGCAGCGGCGCCGCCTCGGAGCCGCGCGGGGCTCGGCGCGGAGCGATGCGGGCAGCGGTGAGCGGCGGGGCCGGGGGCGGAATGGGCCGGGGGCGGCGG